ATCTAAGAGCTGGTTCTTTGAAAAGCTAAACAAGATAGACAAATCCTTAGACAAGTTAACCAAAAGAAAGAAAGAATAAATCCAAATCAACAAAATCAGAAATGAACGGGGAAACATCACAACAGACCCAAAAGATCCAGAACATTTTAAGGGATTTACAGCAGAATCCTAACAGACATTTAAAGAAAACCTCTTTAAGACTTTACCTCTTAAAGTATTCAAAAAGGTGGAAGCAGAGGGAGAACTCTCAAAGTCCTTCTATGAAGTCAGCATCACTCTAGTACCAAAACCAGGTAAAGACACAACCAAAAAAGAGAACTATTGGCCCATATCCTTAATGAACATTGATGCAAAAATTCTCAACAGAATACTTGCAAACTGCATACAGCCACACATCAAAAAGACCAGCTACCATGATCAAGTCACGTTTATTCCAGAGATACAGGGATAGTTCAATATACACAAGTCAATAAATGTCATAAATCATATAAATGAACTCAAAGACAAAAAACACATCATCTCAATAGATGCAGAAAAGGTCTTCAACAAAATTCAGCATGCATTCATAACTAATGTCTTAACAGGAATTGGACTGGAAGGAACATACCTCAATATAATCAAAGGTACATACAACAAACTCACAGTCAACATCATTCTAAATGAAAACAAAACAAAACAAAACAAAAAAACCTGAAAGCATTCCCATTAAAATCAGGAACCAGAAAAGGATGTCACTTGTTTTCAGTGTAGTGCTTGAAACTCTTGCTAGAGCAATAAGAAAAGAGAAGGAAATTAAAGGAGTACTAATTGGAAAAGAAGAGGTCAAATTATCCCTTTTTGCAGATGATATGATACTATACCTAAGAGATCCCAAACATTCCACCAGAAAACTTCTAAAAGTGATTAACACTTTCAGTATTGGCAGGTTAGAAAATTAATCTACAAAAATTAGTAGCCTTTCTATATACCAGTAACAAGCAATCAGAGAAAAAGTACAGGGAAATACAAGGGGGAGATGGAGAGGAAGAGGAGGGGGAGGGGAGAGAGAGGGGAAGGGGGAAGGGGAGGAGGGGAGTGACCAAAGACATCAAAGATCTCTACAATGAAAAATTTAGATCTTTAAAGAAAGAGATTGAGGAAGACATCAGAAGATGGAAGAACCTCCCATGCTCATGGATTGAAAGAGTTAATATTGTGAAAATGACCATCCTACCAAAAGCCATAAACCCAATAAAAATCCCATGGCATACTTCACAGAATTAGAAAAAACCACCCTTAAATGTGTATGAAAGCAAAAAAGACCCTGAATAGCCAAACAACCCTGTGCATTAGCAATGCTGGGGAGATTACTATGCCAGATCTCAAAGTATAGTTCATAACTATATTCATAAAACAGCATGGTACTGGCACAAAAATAGATACATAGATCAATGGAACGTCACTGAAGACCCAAACCTGGGTACATGCAATTTCAGCCACCAGATATTTCACAAAGGTGCCAAGAACACACAATGGAGGAAAGAGACCATCTTCAATAAATGGTGCTGGCAAAACTGGATCTCTACCTGTAGAATGAAACTAGATCCTTATCTTTCACCATGCATAAAAGTCAACTCCAAATGTATCAAAGATCTCATTCTGAAATCTGAACCTCTGAAACTGTTAGAAGAAAACATTGGCAATAGCCTACAAGATATAAGTATAGGAAAGGACTTTCTGAATCGAACATGAATTGCTCAGGAATTAAGGTCAAGAACCAACAAGTGGGACCTCCTTAAACTAAAAAGCTTCGGTACAGCAAATGAAACAATCAAGAAAATGAGAAAAAAATCTTTACCAGCAACATATCAATAGACATTTAATATCCATAATATATAAAGAACTCAAACAACAAAGAATCAAGAAAACAAATGAGTCAATTAAAAGATGGGCTAAAGATCTAAACAGAAAGTTCTCAAAAAGTAAAGATGGCTAAGAAACATCTTAAAAAGTGTTCAACATCATTAGAAATTATGGAAATGTAAAAGTGTCTTTAACATTTCATCTACTTCCATCAGACTGGTTAACATCAAGAGAAGAAATAAAAATAAATGCTGGCAAGGATGTAGAGAAAGGGGAACACTCATTCATTGCTGGTGGGATTGCAAAGTCATGCAACACCTATGGAAAGATTGTGGACAAGTCTTGACAAAACTACAAATGAACCTACCATATGACCCAGTTATACCACTCCTTGGCATATACCCAAAGGACTCATCCTATAGCAGAGACGCAGTATATTGGCACAATACATACAACATGGTTGTACTATATCTACAAATATGCTTGTTGCTGCTCTTTTAACAACAGCTAAGAGATGGATGCCACTTAATTACTCATCAACTGATGAGTGGTTAACAAAAATGGGATACATTTACACAATGAAGTTCTACTCAGTAGTAAATTAAGATGAAATAATGAAATTTGAAGGTAATGGATGGAACTAGAAACTGCTATATTATGTGAAATAACACAGACTCAGAAAAACAAAAGGCATATGTTCTCCCTCATTTGTGGATCCTAGCACTAACTCCTTACATATGAGCATATATCCTGATGTAACTGCAGGAACCAGTAAAATGGAAGAGAACCAGTGATATAAAGGGAAAGAAGGAACCCAAGAGAGAAGAATAGTAGGAGACATGTTACCAAGGGAGAAATGTGTAAAAAGGGGGTAGTTAGAGGGAGGGGGAGAAGGAGGGCTATGGCAGTATGGGGACAAAGGTGAAGGGGGAGCTCAGGAGAGGTGGGACCATAGCAGACAGGAATTATCAAGGGAGAAATGGGGAAAATGTAAACACTTTAAATGAGGAGGGTGGAGAGGGAAGATAAGACAAGGAGAGACAGACGGGGGAGAGAGAAATAACACCAAGCTAGTATAAAAAAACAAACGGAATCATATTAGTCCAAAAACCTGTTGAAAAATTACACATATAATATCTGAACATGAGTCTGTGTGTACAGCTAAAAGAACCATAACAAGAAACAGCACCAGACAGGAGAAACCTTCCTTTGTGTTGTTGGCCAGGTTAGTCCAAGAGACTCCCCAAATTACACAGCATATTGCCACAGCCCTTGATTGCCTTCCAGAATTTGAACATAAGGCCCTATTGCTGAAAATAAGACATACTCGTACAGGATTTGGAGCAATAGAGCTAGGAATGACCTAGCAGCCACCTCCCTGAAGAATGGTTCTCATAGCTTTGGAGAGCACGACACAACCTGTTAAGGGAGAACATCAATCAATGTTCCAACCCTAGTTTCAAGGCCTAAAAACCACATCAATGACCAGAACAGCAAATGACATTGGTGCAATAGTGCAATTTTATCTTGGAGGTAAGCAACAGTACCTAATTGAACTTAAAGTCCACTCAATGCAACTCATGTGTGGTACTGATCTTTCTGTAGACCCCATGTAACTCACATTCTCAAGAATTTATCTCCCCTCTTGAAGTAAATTAAAATCCTTTACATCCAAATTCACATAGCTGGAGAGATCATAGTTCTTAAAGAAAACCCCAAGGCTGTCATACCCCTAGACAAATGTAATTTCTTACTATATGCAAAATATGGATCCTTAAATTTTTAGACAAGTATCCCAGTCACCAACCATCAAAGAAGCTTCTTTTCAACAGAAGGAGATTATTCCAGAGTTCCACCACTGGCCACAGACAGAGGTTGACTGTAAATTGCCCATGCCTAAGTGATACATCTAAGATGCAACCCCTATACCTAAGGCTCACAGAACACAGAAAAAGGAATGAAGAGAACACTAATGCATCTTTCAATTCTCATCAATGAAGCTCCCTCATGCAACAGAGGGCCAGGAACACAAAAGGCCATAAACGGTCAAAATTAGAGAGTAAGAGTCTACAGAGTGTGGGTCCTTAAAAAGGACTCATTAAAATCCACCCTCAGAGATCATTGCAGAAGAGGGGGCAAAAAAACTCTAAGAGCCAGGGAAGAGGTGCATGACCATACAGAAATAAGAGTCCTACAGGTTCCTGGACTCTTCTCATACAAACCCATAGCAATGCTGTCAGCATGCACAAGACCCATGCACAGAACTGTAGAAATGGACAGCAGGCCCCAATCTAGTCAAAAAAAAATTATTGGCAGCTGATTAATGCTGGGGGAGGAAGAGTTGATCTTCTTAAAGGGAGGGGCTCTATATAGGTTGACTAGACCTCAATGGATGAACTTGCACTGAGGGACAGGATAGGCCTTAGCACAAATTACAGAATGTATGAATGCCAGATTGGGGGGGGGCTATGGGAGGGAGCCAATGGGGAAGGGGGTATAAAGATGATTAAGATGTTCTGTATGAAATATAAAAAAATTAAAAAATAAATAAAAAATAAAAAACAAAACAAAACCTTAGGATACGACTGAAATTGCATTTTACTGAGTCTTTACATTAGTTTTAGTACATAAAATTACTTTCCTTAGTTTTTCACAGCAGCAGGATCATGGTCAATGAGGTTTATCCAAGGATGGATTAACTGCTAATTAAAACGCAATTTTTAGATGCACTGTACCCAACGGCAATCAGGAAATTAAAGGAAGTGCTACTCTATCTGATGTTTTGCAGTTAAGATTTAATGATCTTTCTGTAGACCCCATGTAGCTCACATTCTCAAGAATTTATCGCCCCTCTTGAACTAAATTAAAATCCTTTGTATTTAAGCCAAAACACATGGCATCTTGTTAGGTGTTCAATCTGAGTAGCTCTTGTTTCAAAGCCATGTTTTTATACCAGCCCCTCTACAGTTATACAAGAAGGCCTGGAAGACGAATAAATACAACTAAGTGGGGTAACAATACATTTTTTGCAAAAACAGTCAAAAAGTACTTTATACTTTTTCGAGTTATGATTTATTCTAAAAGGAAAAAGAGTATGCATGTGCCAGGACACACAAGATCTGTAAGTATTTCTCAACGGGAGAACAAATGACTCTTACTTCGCAGATGTCTTGGTGATCTCATCAGCCAGCATGTCCCTGACCCTGCAGGAAGGAAGAAAAAGAGACATAAGCTGACGTGAAAGCAAAGTTAAAAGTTCTAAAGCTTGATCCATTAACTTACAAAAGCTTTCAGCAGGCTGGTAAGATGAAGTCTGAAGACCCAAGTCCAATCCCTGTTACCCACATGATCAAAATGGAAAACTAACCCCCAAGGTGCACTCTGACCTGGACTTATGTGCTACGGTACATGCATGCTCACATATACCACATATGCAAATTAATAAAAATGCACAAAAAAAGAAATTAAAACTCCTAGTACTATCTCTGGGTCTTAAAGCTATAGATAGATAGGTAGATGACAGATAGATAGATGATAGATAGATAGACAGACAGACAGATAGATAGATGATAGATAGATGATAGATAGATAGATAGATATAGATAGATAGACAGATAGATAGATAAACTTTAATGAAAGGGGAAAGGACTACAATAAGAGCTTTCTTTGAAAGCAACTTGAAAAGAACATGCAACCAAGGAGACAGTGCTGTGTTGGTGGTGAGATACAAATGGAGTGGCAGGTGTACAGGTGTTCTCTGCGTTACTCTTCTATGGACTAAATATTGCCCTCCCTCAGATTCTTGTAGAATCCACCCAATATGACAGATTTCCAGGTAGCACCTTCACAAGTGGGATTAAAGCCCTTAAAGAAACAGCGTAAGAAACCATGCTTCACCTCCCACTGCATTCCCCATGTGAAGAACCTGCAGGATGTGAGTTCTCATAGATTGCACATATGCTGCTTCCCAGACTCTAGAGCTGGGAGAAATTAATTTGTGTTGCTGAAGCCACCCTGTCTATCTATATTATTTCAGTTATGGCATCTTGAACTGACATTAATAATTTCTTTTATGTATGGGAGCTCACTAGAACATCAAATTACTGCTCCCTGACAGTGTATACAAAAGTCATTGTATGTGTATATGAAATACAATTTCAAACTTTAATTGTACAATCATACCAAAACCAAAAAAGATAATTATACATGTGGGCTAAAGGTCAGGTATGTTCAGTTAAAATATTCAGACTATAACATCATTTTCAACATAGGAGCACTGAGGTACAGGGAAAAACAACTGTCTGGCAGATTTACTACTTTGATTTTGTTTTTGGTTTTTTTGAGACAAGGTCTCCCCCTGTAGCCCAAGCTGGCCTGGAACAAGAGATATAGACTAGGCTAGCCTGGATCTCACAGAGATCTGGGATTAAAGATGCATGCTACCACAACCAGCCAAATTTATATTTTTAAGGATTGTTTAAACATTTACTTTTAATTTGTAAATTCCAGATTTAAAAAATATATATATAACATTTTTTCAATTTTTTTACATTCAATAAAAGTATGTATACATATAAGTGATATAAATGGTCATTGAAAGGAAATGAAAAATATCTATGACCTCTGGAAGTTAAATTCATGAAGGTGAATTTCTATAATCTCTGTAAACCTTCTTTTAAGCTTCATGGAGACAGAATTTTAGGCTGCATCAATCACTACTCTAACCCTCCTAGAATATTTCATTTCTTTTTTTCACTTTTTAAAATTTTTGTTTAACTTTCAAAAAAATTTTGAGAATTTCATACATGCATATAACGTGTTCTGATCAAATCCATGCCCACTCCCACCACTCCAATACCTCGCATATTTCCCCATCACTTTTTTCTGACTTCATGTACTCCCTCCCTTTGTTTCCTTCCTTTCCTTCCTTTCCTTCCTTCCTTCCTTCCTTCCTTCCTTCCTTCCTTCCTTCCTTCCTTCCTTCCTTCCTTCCATCCCCCTTCCTTCCTTCCTCCTCCCTCCCTCCCTCCCTCCCTCTCCCTCCCTTTCTCTCTCTCTCTCTCTCTCTCTCTCTCTCTCTCTCTCTACCTCCCTTCCTATTTTTGCTCTCTAACATTGTGCTCTCTGAAGAGGTAACACTAAAATTTTTTAGGGATTAGATAACAGCTACCAAATACTTTTGACATTTTGGGCCTTTGGAACAGAATATGTTGGTAAGAGGCTGAAGGACATTTTGACTTTTAGCCAAGAAACTGGCTACTTTTCTCTGGGGTCTTTTCTACCCTAACTGCCTAGCCAATTCCTACCTCCTATTCTTATCATACCATCCTCTGAAGAGGTTACCCAAATTGCCTATAGGGAATCAGGATACAGTCCACACTGGGTTCTTCCATGCTGAACAGGGATGGAGGGTGAGGCAATTGGGGTACCTCTACAGAGGGTCTATCTAGAAGACTTCCATATTGCATAACTCTTATCTGTAGGGAGAAAAGAAAGACCTTAACTGGGGAATAGGAGATGTGAAGAAGTAAATGCAAGAGGAGTTAGCATTACAAGTTCTAGACAGAGAACCAGGAAAATGTCAGAACAGGTCAAATTTCAAATGTTCATATCAGAGTCCTTTGGGATTTCTTGACAATAGCTTCCAAAAGCATTCCACTATCAGGTTCCTCCTCATTTTTCTTTTTGTCTGCCAAGGCAGCACTTGAGAGTGATGGAGTCAAGATTTGTTTTCAGGCACTATGATAGCTGTTGGAGTGGCTAGAATCAGTGTCAGTGCCCTCACAAGAGCTTCTTGATAGGGAGAGAAAACAAATTTAGTGATCATTTTAGAACAATACTAGGTTGTTTCCCTTAGCTACAGGTGGGCACTACAGTACGGCAGACCAAGATTTGAAGCCTTACATCTGAGCAGCACTTTGTGATTAGAAACAAAATCATCAATGAGAAATAACTGTCTAAATATCATTTTATATGGACTTAAGCCTAATGTCTGGGAAGTGTAATCGTTTGAAGTCTTAAATATACTGATCAGGGCTGGAGGGATGGCTCAGTGGTTAAGAACACTGGCTGTGTTCCTTTGATCAGAATGAAGTAGCCCTCTTTATCTCTTCTGATTAGTTTTAATATGAAGTCTTTTTTGTCAGATATTATAATTGCAACCACTGCTTGTTTCTTACTGCCATTTGCTTGGGATATTCTTTTCCATCCTTTCACTTTAAGGTAGTGCCTGTCCTTGAAGGTGAGATGGGTTTCTTACAGACAGCAAAAAGACGGACTTTATTTCTTAATCTATTCACTTAGCTTGTATCTTTTGACTGGGGAGATCAGTCCATTGATATTTAAAGTCAGTATCAAAAGATATGTATCGTTTGCCATCATTTTGATTGCTGTTTGCGTTTGCCCTTGTCTAATTTTGTCTATAACTGTTTCCTCAATTATACCTTTATTTTCTTTCCTTGCCCCTGGGGTATAGATGCTCCTTTTTCTGTTCTTTGTATTGCTTCTAGTAGTGTTTGAAGGGCTGGTTTCATGGACATGTATTCTTTCAGGTATTCGTGTCATATTAGATTTTTCTTTCTCCCTCAATTGTAATAAGACATTTTTTGCTGGGTAGAGTATTCTGTGCTGGCATCTTTGTAATGTAGAACTGGAAATACCTTGGTCCAGGCTCTTCTGGCTTTCATAGTTTGCATTGATAAGTCAGTGATGATTCCGATGGGCTTTCCTTTATATGTGACTTGTTTTTCTTTGCTGCTTTCAGTATTCTCTCTTTGTTCTGTATATTTAGTGTTTTTACTATGATGTGCCGTGGAGAGTTTCTTTTCTGGTCCTGTCTACTTGGTGTTCTATGTGCTTCTTGTATTTGTATGGGGATGTCTTTCCTTAATTTTGGGAAATTCTCTTCTACAACCCTAAGATCTACTCAACACCATTAACGTGAAATTCTTCTCCCTCCTCTATGTCTATGATACGTAGATTTGGTCTTTTCATGGTATCCCACATCTCTTGTATGTTCCATTCCTGTGTTTTTTTAAATTTTTCATAATCTTTGTTTTAGTGGTCCAATTCTTCAACTTTATCCTCTAGTGTTGATATTCTGTTTTCCATCTCATTCATTCTAGAGATGAGGCTTTCCCCTGTTGTTTCAACTTGACTTACTGAATTTTTCAGCTCCTTCTTCATTTCTGCCTGAGTTGTCTTCAATGTTTCTATCTCTTTTGTGAATTCATTCAGAAGTTTATCCCTATCTTCTTTTAGTTCTTTGTTCGTGTGTTCTTTAAATTCGTTGAATTCCTTGATCATCTTCATGATTATTCTTTTAAATTCTGTGTCCTGGGTTATCTCTAGGGGGTTTTCCTTGTAGAACTCTTCGACAGGACTGGTGGAGTTTGGTGGGGATGTAGTGTTTTGGCTTTCCATTTTATTATTCTTTTGTTGTGATTTTGGCATGTGAATTTCTTTTGTTGTTTGTGATTCTCACGCGAGAATTAAGTTGAAGTATGCTTCTCTTTGTATTATTGGTGTGTCTTGGTCCTTTTCTTATTGTTTATGTAAAGCTGGTTGGTCCAGGTTTCAAGTTCTCTCAGGTCTTATTTTGGAGGGAACTGATAGCTTCAGATCAGCTCTCAGGAGCTCCCACAAAAGCCCAAGTTGAGCTCCAGTCAGGTACACTCAGGCTTCCTTCTAAGGTTTGGACCCCTGCTAGCGGGAAGTCAGGGCACAATTTGGGAAGTTCCCTAAGGGGAGGCCGATATTGGGATTCTCAGGTTGTCCACTGAGTTCTCAGCCCCTATGCCAGAGGGAGGCAGAAACAGGCCCTCTGGAGGTCTGCTGAGACCTCAGCTTTATCCTACCAAAGGGCAGAGATCTGTCCAGAGGCCTTGAGAGGAGGCTCAAGTAGTCCCAGTTAGGGGGTTGGGTATGGTGTGATTTGGGGAAGTCCAGCACCACATGGCGGGCAGGATCCAAGCACTCTCAGGCGGTCCCCTGAGTTCTCAGCCCCTATGCAAGAAGGAGGCAGGAACAGGAACTTGGTCTGCTGAGATCTCAGCTTTATCCTACCAAGGGGCAGATGTCTGCCCTGGAGCCTTGGGAGGGGCCTCACATAGTCCTAGTTAGGGGGTTGGGTATGGTGTGATTTGGGGAAGCTCACTAGCACATAGGGGGCAGGATCCAAGTGCTCTCAGGCAGTCCCCTGAGT